CCTACTCCCCTCGTGTGCCTTCGTCCTCCCACGACTATATATATATATATGAGAAATGATCCTATTGGACCCTCTCCCATCCATGTGTGTAGATACCCTAAAAGATCACTATTAAAGTTGGTACGGATCTCTAAAAAAGTCAAGTCCCACACCTATGTGATAACGTTTTTAGATATCTGTGCAAACTTTAATAGTGATCCTTTGGAGTCTTATACACTGGGTATGGGAGGGTCCTATTGAATCATTACTATATATATATATATACATAGTGATAATTTAAACTTTACAACCTCTCATATTACAAAGGTTAAAGATAGAGAGAGTTATGAAGGGTAGATTTACTAATTTTATCATCTATTTTTTAAAAAGATGTTATTTTTAGTCATATCTTCATCATTAAGGGTAATTTTCTAAATATTACTACAAGACAGGGGTACTTTTGTCCTCTCCATAAAGGGTAAAGTTGAAAAATGTTTACTAAAATAATAAGGCACTTTACTAATAAAATTCCAAGACACTAATTCTTAAAATGCCATTGTAATTTTGTAAGAATTTCAAATTTTCCTTTACTTAATGGTTAAGTTACGTTTTAAAATAATTTTTTAAACAAAAAGTAATCATATTTTTGATAAATACACCCATCACAACTACTTCTAACTTTAACCTTTATATTTTGAGGGGTTGTTAACTCTATGAGTAGAATTCCAGGCCTTAGAAGTATACCGGAACAGTTGTTCATGATTATCAACTTATTGTTTTAGGATTCCTCCTAAACCCAATCCTGAGGCATCACATTCAATTATTTTAAATGCAGTAGGGTTAGGAAGAGAAAGACAAGGTAAAGATTTTACTTTTTGTTTGATCAGTTGTACTGCGCTGGTATGAACAATTGTCCAAGGTGGAGGATTCTTTTTTAAGCGATCATGCAATGGTTTGGCATCAATAGCAAGGTCTTGATAAAAATCAATAACATAATTTAAACATCCTAAAAATTGTTGAAGCTCTTTTTTATCTAAAATTTTATCTGGAAATTTATCAGCAAATTGAATTGAGCGGTTTATGGGAATAACCCTGATATGAGATTATGTGTTTGGATAGGGCAGGCACAAGTTGGTTCTTGCATGGAAGTAGATGAATCTTCATCTGAGGAGGAAGAATCTGAAGACTCTGTCCAGTTGAAATCATCTTCTTGTAAATTTCCTATTAAAGATTCATTTGAATTTGTATTAGAAGAGGATGTACTATCATAATTGATAATATGATATATTTTAGTTTTTAATGACTCATCCAATTGTAAAGCATCTATCTTCTTTTTTAGTTTACATTGATATTTATAATGTCCAAGTTTTCCACACTTGTAACATACAGGTATTTTCTTTTTATTCTTATTTTTAGTCGTAGCTTTTTTGATAAATTTTTGTTTTTTAGCCTTCTTATAATTATGTGATTTGTCTGGCCTAAATTTATCTTTATGATATTTTTTCTTTTTCTTATACAATTTTTCTGGTTTATTTTAGTTATCTATGTGATACCCAAATTGTTCGCAAAAATCACCAAGCTCTTTTCGTTTAGTAATTTGTTGTTTGTCGAGTTGGCGTTTAAGCTTTAGGTCTGTGCATAAGACTAATCCTTCAGCACATATTTCTGCTGATAATTCTCCTAATATATAAGCAGAATAAATAATAATTCCATTATATTTCTTTCTAAGTCTTTCTTTAACCTTTTCAGCAAATAAATGGGGAAGACTAGCAATAAACTTTTTCTTCCAATGATCAAGCTGACAGTCTTCTCTTATTAATAATCGTGAAAAGAATACATCTTTATACCATTTATAATGGGATAATGTAGGACATCTTAAGTTTGACAGCAAATCTTCTGACCTTGCTGCTAATAAAGTTGTACTTCCTACAAAATGTATGGTGATAGTATAAATTAAAGTGTTT